CCATCTACCCGCCTGGACTGGAACTAAAATTTTACTATAGTATATGCTTGACCTACCCCCACCACGGCCTCCGCACCTTTATACCTATCTACACTCAACGGTTTAACTATGCTATTAGCCAAAGAGACACTTTTATTTCGAAGATAAACGGAGTTTATGCATTGTGCTACGTTGAAGAAAAGCAGTCTAAATTTACAGGACGGTCTTAACTGTTTAGATAATATTGATCTAAAGGAATAGACAAATCATAGACATTTCTACTTGTTAGGAATATTTGAGATTGGTCAATTCCTTTAGATCAATATTAACCGGTTTACGACTGTCCGTGTAGACGCAGTCTATTGGTCGGCGTCTGCTGTTCGCTATCCGTTACATTTGTTCTGAACGAGCCCGAAGCTTCTAATTGTAAGCTTGTCTTTAGTGTTCCATGAGTTTTCTAACCAACCACGGATCATCATTTTTTCTGTAGTACATCTTATATATATATCCGAAGTCTAATTGATCATTGGCTGTACAGGGATCGTGTTAAGGTTTGTTTAATAAGTGTACAGTCGTGTCGAGAATATATTTTATGACGAATTAACAACCGTAGAGCGTAATTAAGCCGGAGTGTTGAGTTTATTGTATACGTAGCAGATTTCATCGTCTACATTCTTCAACCACGATCAACGTTCCGGCACTTCGAGGCCGTTTAATGTCGCTCATTCGCCGCGTGTCATCTTCAAGTGTACAACAGCGTCAAGTAATACTTTCGATCGGTTTAGCCTTTTGTGTTTCGCTTCTTTCTGTTACAAAGTAAAATATTTTTTTTTCTTTCATATAGTAAAGTTGCAGTATTTATTTTTTTTACATTTCTTATTCTTGGATACCAAATCGTGAATATATTTTTTCTGCGAATGAATTTTAAATCTCTAAATTAACGTTCACGTTACGAGTTCACTTGAATAATATTTCTAGTTCATACATTCCAATTCATACTCATTTCTGTTTTTATTATATATGCAATTGATTTTAAAATATATGGCATTTTAAAATTCTCACATGTAAAACTTGATTTCTGAGTAATTTTTGTTTATTGTGCTGATATCTAAATTCTTGGCATTAGATCAATGTTTATAATGACTTAAAAATGACCTTATATACTTCTATTCAAGTTGTTTCACACAATTCATTTTTTATGCAATTTTTGTCTTTCAAACTGCTATTTGCTGAAACCAAAAACATGTATGTAAGTTGTATAAAAGAAAGCATTATGGTAGACAGGGTCTTGACTCTAGAAAGGATATACTTTCTACTATCCCACCTATCTCTTTTAGGATCAAATAATTTTGTAAATCATTATGTTATATTCTTTGCTTTTTGAAATAATTGACTTTTGAATTAAAAGTTAAAGTATAGCATAATTAAACAGTTTTCTCGGAGTCATCATTGATAGTTAATGTATTTTCTGTTATAGTAAATTATTTTATTATTAGTATTTTTTAAATTTTGGAGTGATGATTCTTGATACTTCTCAGACACTAAAAAATTGATTATAATTTAAAAGTTATATTAGTAATAGAAAATTAGTATCATATATTTGAGCTTTATAACAAGACTAAGGATAGGGTGAAATGTCTAATGCTACTTATAACTATTATATTATATTTAATATTTCCTTATTATTGTTGATATATTATGTAACCTCTGCTAAGAGAAATATATTGCAATGATATTAATAGTTTGTTCTGATCAAGTTTAGTATATTGCAGTTATCTCTGAACTGCTGACAATTTCTTTATTAAAACTATATGCAGTCTAATAACACCCTTTTTGATTTATATGATCTTATAAAACAAGCTTTGGACGGAAAAGCATGTTTATAAAGATACCGTTAGAACCATAAAATACTTTATAAACTACAAAGCTTATAATAAGGCTTCTGTAAAGAGATCTCACAGATTTTTTGCCCTTAGATTGTTGTTCAGGGATACATGTATCAAATATTGCATATAATTTAAAATGAACTGTACAAAAATATCATTGTTAAAAGTTTAATTTGTTTAGGGAAGTTAATAAGTCATTCATATAAGTTATATTAGTGTAGTTTATTAATTTATAAAAATTTTGAAGGAAAAAGATTATTTTGAATAATTTTATATTATAAAGAATGTATGAGATAAACGATTTGATATAGTTTATCTTATATTATTAGAGTTTACACACTGCCATTTGTTATATAGAAATTTATACATTATCGCACACATTGCTGCAGACTTCATTAGGACACTGTGTTGTTTCATTTGATATATGCCTGAGATCATTTATATGAGGTTTTATGGACTATGGATATTTTTGTATTTAATATAGCATACAATGCAACTGAAGATTATGATCCATATTTTTAATATTATTTAAAAAATTATTATATTATGTATTTTTAGAGTTGAGTTATGTGTGTCATTTAGACTTTGAAATAATGAAGTAAGGAGCCTTTAACTTTTAACTTTTATTGGAAGTTGACCATGCTCTTCTGTGTAGCTTCATGTTTATAATTATTTTCACCTATCACATGAAATTTAGAGTTAAAAACGGAATAGTATGTACTCAATGTTTCCAAAGAAATTTAATTTTTAAATTTTGGGTTTGCAGGGCATGAGAAACAAATATTGAGGTAAAATAGAAATGATTGACTAAATTGCATTGAAGTTCTATTAAAACGAAATGTCTTATACTTTTTCTTTGTTATAAAAATATGAGGCACAATGATTAATTAGTGTGCTTAAAACTATCTTATAATAAGTAATTTTGGTAACCTTCTATTTCATTAGTAGGTATACAAATTTTTAAAAATGTGTATCTTTGAAAAGGTGTCTTCTTAGGTCAGTTGCATAAGTATTATGTGTCAGAATACTTATGGATCCAAACAATGAGGGGTTTAGTTTTTCTGAGTTTTCCAACTATTACCACTGATTTAGGGAAACAACCGAGACTTATGAAAAAATATTTATGGACACTAATAAGGAAAATTAATGAAAAACTAATGAAGTAGTATTTTCTTGCACTTATTGAATATTACTATTCTGATTATTAGTATTATTAATACCACTGGTGTCATTAGTGCCATTCATTCTTGCCAAAATACAATTGAGTTGATTCTATTATCTATATCAATATGCATGGAGAAAGTATCAGTTCTCATAGGCCAATCCTTTCACATTAACATATGGTACATGTAGAAAAGATAATTTTGTTAATTACTTTTAACTTGTCATCACTCATAATACTATTGAACAGTTTATTAGCACTCATTAATTTCTGTCAGGGCTCATCAGTATCCATAAGGGTTTTCCCATAAGAGAATGACGTTTCTGCCAGAATCTCTTTGAGAAATGAAATAGGTGTGTTGACTGGAAATGTAGCCACTTATAGTGAAACTTCCCTACATATGGCTTTTACAAAATTTGATTTTTTCTGTATGTATGGTAATTGCAAGTTTAAAGAAGTGAAAAAAATTCTCGACATGAATGTTTACGGCTAAACCTTACATACAGTGTAATTTATAATTTTTGAACCAGTTGGGATCGTGCTAACTCAAATTTTAAGTTGGACTTGAGTCCCTGATCTCAATTTTCCTAACCGTAATCTGCACATGCGTCTTTCATTGGCTCAGATAAGCGTGTGTAGGGAAACCCTACTGCGTTTAAGTCTGCGCACTACGACCCTGATTGGTAGAAATTGCAGCACAATGGGAGAGCTCCACTCGAGGGGAAGTTAAAATTTGAGAGGTTTCACTGTAACTATAATGCGTTGTCAAAATATTCATATCTCATACTGTCAGCGTTTAAATGAAAGAAAAAGCATGTATCTGACCTAGTGCAGTGTATTTCAATATATTTGCATGTGTGGTATATGCAATGATTCGGAAGCATAATTGAAATTAAATATTCATGTTTAGTAATGGAAATAGAAAAACTTTATGATTTTTTGTCAGTTCGTGTAGTTCAGAATATTTTTTCTGCTATATTTTACTTGGTTAGCTTTTCTTTTTAAATATTTAATAATATTTGTAATTAGCCCTTTGTAACCCATTGGGAACACTCTTCTCAGAAACGCGTTTAAAAGAAATTCATTATTTCGCTAAAAATTAAGATATATTCGTTTTATTTTCAGCATAAACAAACGACATTCTTCCACTGTCTATAAAAAATTTGAATACCCGATAAATATTGTTGCATTTATTAACTATAACTTCATAACAATATTGTGTGCTTAATCAGTTGTGTAGTCGTATCACGAATAATTGAAACAAATATCTAATACATACTGAAATAGAATATAAAACGCACTATGTTCACTTTTTTCTCAAATTTGAATTGCTCATTGATGTGATGAGTTTTTTTGGGTATTTTTGATATTATAAACAGATTTTCGGTGCGAATAGTTTAATTTAAAAATCTCCATTACATTCTCTGACGTGAATGGCGTCTCTTGACTTTAACGGTAGTTTTGAATAGAGTAAAAATTACGACAATTTGTTTCTGTCATTCGGACTGCCTGACTTCAATACAGTTGCTATCTTAAACGTCGCACACGTAAAAAAAAACTGAAGTCTTAAAGGGTTAATACTAAACCCATCGACAAGTGTCTAACGGTATTTTTAAGGGGAAAAACTAGTCATTTGACCGGCGGCGGTAGGTTTAATGTTAAACTATTTTATATTCATTTGTCTTTAAAAGTTTTAAAAATTTATACGACCGCTTAGAAAAAAATTGATTTTTTTTTAAGCGAGTTTGACATGTTTTGTGTTGTAACCGGTTATTAAAGGAAGTACAATTTTTTTCTATATAGTAGTTTCATTCTTTTCGCGAATAAATAGTATAATGCCATTCTTACAAATATTTGCTACATAACAAATTGAATCAAGCCGAAGATCAAAGACGTACATATAAATTGTATAATTTATTTCCATACTTCATATTGTTTAAATATAGTTGTAAAAAATTAAAAAAATAATTCCATCTGTCTTAATTAAAAAATTGTAGTAGTCATTACTAATGTGAAATAATTGTCGTATAAAAATTTCATGAATTTTTACCGTTCAGAAGTCGAAATTGATGACGTTAATTTAACATGACAAGTATATTTGTATCGTGTCATTTAGGTTATTTTCACTCCATATATCTCAGAAACGGAATCATCCATCTTTTACCAATTTTGCACGCATAAAGACTACGTACTTGCCAAGAACATAACAAAATTTCAGATTGGTTAGTTGGATTTGTTTTGATAGTCGTACCCCTTTAAGGGATCAATACACCTGGGATATAAAAAAATTATATTGTTTCTAAGAACTTTTCGCAAATTTGGTTTAAATAAATTTGTATCTTAAAGTTTAATTCTTCTTTCGGCTACACCGTTCTCATATTTTTTCTACAGTATAACTTTAGCATATATGCTAACACATATGTGTATTAAAGCTCTCTAAGTGACAAACTGTAGAATCGTGAAATATGTTTCTGTTCTCTAAAGATTAAATACTTTCTGGCAATGATTAATTCAAACCTGAAGAACATCACATTGTTTAACATATGAATTTTCAGTTTGCATTTTTGTTTCAGCTTTGTTTTTTGATTGTGAAAGTAATATTAAAATGATCCTTAACTTCGTGTAATATGTTGTCACCTGCGTTTAAAGAAAAAATTAGTTGTCAATTTCGTTATAATTATCTACGATTTCCATAGTAATTGATAGACACGATGGTCGTCCAAGGTCCTAAATACCCTGATTAAAAAAAAATTGCAAACTGGTAGCCGCCATTTTAATTAATTTAATCACACGCTACGGCAGGCTTCATGTTAAATACTTTTTGTAATGATTAATTTATGTAATATCGCTAGGAACACCAATTGTAATTGTTAGTTAAATACGGCTTTATAAGCAAGATAATAAACATTTTTGGGGAAGTTTCTTATTCTAGTACAATAAATAATAGAAGGATTGAAATTATATTTTAATTCATGTTTATACATATAGTTAATTATTGTGAATTATATTGACTGTTTATCGGTTTAAAATTCATATTGCAGTATGGTTAAAGTATTAAATCTAATTGTTTTTTATTAGTATTAGGTATAATTATAGTCGATCCGCAAGTTCGATGTATTTTTTGCCAGATCAAAAACAATGGAGTCCAGCAAGGCATACGTGTCACCGGACACAATGTTAGTTATAAAGTATGCATGATTTTGCATTACATATATTTTGTTTTTCTATTTTAGCATATATTTACAATAGTTTATGAAAAATCACGTGTAATTTAATAACGATTGCATTGCTTGCAAACTGTTAAAAAACATTAAACTCATGGATTGACTATATATGACTACGTACACTATAATTAAGTTTTAAACAATAATTTTATTGATTAGTTACTGAACATTTTGTGCATTAATTAATGTAATTGTGATCTAATAACCTTAATATATTTTTTGCTATAAACATTAATCATCAGGAAATTTTTCAGATATGTCAGAATCAGATTTATTAGCTACTGACCAGATTGATGGGCTTGATGGACTTGAAAATGGTCAGGACGGGGATTCTGTTATGCAATGTGACAGTGTTAAACGAGAATTCAGTGAAGCCAACATTGATGACCCGGTTTGTGATATCAACTATTTCATAAAAATGCTCGAAGGAAATGGCAAGCGAAAAAATTGTTTTGATTCGTAATTTTTATTGTATACTAGCTGTTATATATTTTTATGGTATACAGGGTTAGGCGCGAGAAACAGAACACCTAAATAACTTTATTGGATTCAAAGATACGGAGTTCGCAAATATCGGAATTTAAATGATTCGGAAGGGCGCCCATGGTTATCATAATATTTTTTTTTAATTTCATTTTTTACCAGTTTTTTCAAGGTTATCAGAGTTTTTTTAAATGGAATGGCACATTTTTTCTCCTTGCATATTGTAGCCGGCATCCAAACGAATCCAACCATGTAACATTGTATGACCTTCAGATGACCTCCAACCCAGAAATATGGAATTAATACTAATTCGACGTGTTAGAGATTTGGCTTTATTTCTGTTACGCTAAATGTTCAAAATTACTCCCTTGCACTGCGATACATTTGTGAAACCGTGTAGTAACAGAATTTACTACTCTGTAGTTAATTTCTAAACAAATCGATGCACAAGCCCTGGTGATTCTTTCTTTCATGTTCTCTGCAGTGGTTGGTCGTTTATGATAGACTTCGTCCTTCAGTTTTCCCCACAGATAGAAATCGAGGGGAGTGAGATCTGGTGATCGAATCTATCATGAACGACCAACCACTGCAGAGAACATGAAAGAAAAAATCACCAGGGCTTGTGCTTCGACTTCTTCAGAAATTAACTACAGAGTAGTAAATTCTGTTACTACACGGTTTCACAAATGTATCGCAATGCAAGGGAGTCATTTTGAACATTTATCGTAACAGAAATAAAGCCAAATCTCTAACACGTCGAATTAGTATTAATTCCATATTTCTGGGTTGGAGGTCATTTGAAGGTCATACTATGTTACATGGTTGGATTCGTTTCGATGCCGGCTACAATGTGGAAGGAGAAAAAATGTGCCATTCCATTTAAAAAAACTCTGATAACCTTGAAAAAACTGGTAAAAAATGAAATAAAAAAGAAATATTATGATAACCATGGGCGCCCTTCCGAATCATTTAAATTCCGATATTTGCGTACTCCGTATCTTTAAATCCAATAAAGTTATTTAGGTGTTCTGTTTCTCGCGCCTCACCCTGTATATTATACAGTAACGTTCAATTGAAGTGCAACACTTGAATTTTTGTATATTTCTGTGAAATTATGACCGATTTCAAAAGAAACCAAAGACATATTTTTTAGGAAATTTCCTTCCCGTTCGAATGGTAAAGGTTTTATCCCGATCGGATACAAAATGGCCGAACGGCAGAGTTTGGAGTGATATAGTGCATTTTGGAACTTTTTGAAAAGTGCGAGAACTAGTAGTTCCGGAAGGAAATTCATATTTCTAATTATGGCACTAGAAAGAGCATTCCTCGGTAGTCAAAAAACATCCTCATTGAATCCCTGTAGCATCACTCTAGGGGGGGCTACACCCCCTTGAAGTGAAAACAGTTAATTGACTATAACTTCCGAACGCGCCGGCCAATCTGGTCCAGTTTCTGCGTGATATCATCTTTAACGATACTGCAAATTGTCATAATTATTGTTTTCGGAGATGATCCCCGCACCCGAAGCTTCTCCGCCATTTTTCGTTAGGAATTCGATGAAATTGATACTGAAAATGGTCACAAAATTATTGTTTTCTGAGATGATCCCGTGACGGAGATCTCGAGATATCGCAAGCGCACCCGAAGCTTCCCCGCCATTTTTCATTAGGAATGCGATGAAATAGAAGTTTTATATTTACTCCACGTAGTAGCTGATTTTCAACGATTAAAACGCGATTTTAAACATCCAAAAATGAGTTTGCTAAGGGGTTAAATATTTCATTTGAAAAAATGCCTAAATTTTACGAGTTTCGCTCGAGGCGCTCGTGGGACTACTACCCTACCACGCGCGCCAAGCATTTGTCCCCCGAGTAGTACCTCGAGTGAAACTCGCAAAATTTAGGCGTTTTTTCAAATGAAAAATTTAACTCCTTAGCAAACTCATTTTTGGATGTTTAAAATCGCGTTTTAATCGTTGAAAATCAGCTACTACGTGGAGTAAATATAAAACTTCTATTTCATCGCATTCCTAATGAAAAATGGCGGGGAAGCTTCGGGTGCGCTTGCGATATCTCGAGATCTCCGTCACGGGATCATCTCAGAAAACAATAATTTTGTGACCATTTTCAGTATCGTTAAAGATGATATCACGCAGAAACTGGACCAGATTGGCCGGCGCGTTCGGAAGTTATGGCCAATTAAGTGTTTTCACTTCAAGGGGGTGTAGCTCCCCCTAGAGTGATGTACAGGGATTCAATGAGGGTGTTTTTTGACAGCCGAAGGATGCTCTTTCTCGTGCCATAATTAGAAATATGAATTTCCTTCCGGAACTACTAGTTCTCGCACTTTTCAAAATGCACTATTTCACTCCAACCCCTGCCGTTCGGCCATTTTGTATCCGATCGGGATAAAACCTTTACCATTCGAACGGGAAGGAAATTTCCTAAAAAATATGTCTTTGGTTTCTTTTGAAATCGGTCATAATTTCACAGAAATATACAAAAATTCAAGTGTTGCACTTCAATTGGACGTTACTGTATATATATTTTATTTTTCTAAAATGACTAGGGAGCCAAATTTTAATTCTTTTATGTATTTTCAAAACAATCTCAATTGAAATATTTATTGTTTATTTTCTGTATATCTATTTTAAATATAATTGGAATCTAGGAACTGGAGGCTATTAAGGCACGAGTAAGAGAAATGGAAGAAGAAGCTGAAAAATTGAAGCAACTGCAATCTGAAGTTGATAAACAAATGAACATGGGTAGTCCTCCGGGTATCAGTAAGTTTCATTTTATTATTTTTAAATGTGTAGTCGAAATTGGAATTGAATTTGCTCATTATTTCATGCCTTTAATTAGATTTTTTAATTCTACACTCATATTTTAACTAACTTACGATAAGCTGTAATTTTAGATCCGCAAGTTAAGATCTTTATTAATGCAATAGGCAAACACCATAATTAAGTTGATAACTTCTTAACAAATATTGATAACACTGTTATATTTTATTTTCGTTTAACATGGAAAAAATCAAGTAAGTTAGATCATGATTCATTTTCATATCTGAAATTGCAGATATGTCCAAGACACATTTTGTACATATATCTATAATCAGGAATTCCTGTTTAAGATATGAGATTGAAACAAATAGAAATGCATAAACTTGGAATCAAACATCATGCAAGAATGCATAGATTTTTAAGGACTTTATGTGGTTTTTGGATCTCAAACTATTGTAGAACTTATTATATCGAATTTTTTTTTCAATTTTATATATTAAATCTCTTATTTTTATTTTGTTAAAATTTTGGTATTACCATGTTTTTTATTTGGTAAAGCTTCGAGTGAACTCAATTTTAGTTGAGGAAATGTCTTGACTTCGATAGGAACATCTCAAATAAATCAAATAGTTCCTCATCTGTTTATTCATAATGACCGGTAGGGCTATGCATATCTTTTTTTTTTACATAATAGTTCATATTAAGGAGGTTCGGTAATAATATATAATCTAAGATAGAATTATTCATTTGTTGTATATATTATACAATAACAAAATCTTCACCTATGCACAATTTTGAATATGGTTTATCGTATAGTTTTTGAGATATGAAAAATCTGAAAGTATCAATTTCTACGTTATAAATATACTCAACCTATAAAAATGAATAACTTACAAATTCAATATTTTCATTTTCGTACAATGGAATGTAATGACATTTGACTCGAATATCGTGGTTATATTACATTTTCACTCATTTATTTTTGCACCAAACATTGGCATCTTTTTACTACCTGTTTAACCTGTGCTTCCTTATTAATATTATGATGATCGTCACTGACTTACCTTATGATATGTATTCCGAGCGTAAGACGATAGTCTTCAGATATTAATTATTTTTTTCCTATTGGGACCGCTATTTACCGATGGCGGCGCTTGTATCGTTAGAAAAAATGGTGGATATTGGCTTTCCTATTCAAAGTTTAGCGGCCGTTAAGCCGCTTACGGAGTGCTTGTACTGCACATCAGTGATCTTCATTCTATTGTTTTTTTTGTCAAAAATACCTACATCCTTGAACACAGCATTTTTGGCAGAATATTTTTATTTTCCTTCTCTGAATTTCTTCACATGAATTCATTTCTCGAAAACTTTCGAAGCAAGTATTAACAATTTTCAAGTTGCCGCGAATCCAGAGAGCCAATATTAGCCATGTTTTTTGGTATGCACTCCGCCACCAGGTACCGTATTCATTCTAGCGTCTCCAATACTACAATTTCATCACGTAGCATCGTGTTAAGAATTTTCAGGCTTGCTTACGGACCTTTTAATCATTAATTGTCACTTTAAAAAAATGAAATATTAGAACAGAGGCATATTGAAAAACTTTCCGTCCTTGTTTCAAATGCAGATTTCTCATGCTAATCATCTTAAGATCTGAAATCTAAAATATGTAATGACTTAGAGGATTTAAGAGATTAAGGGGGGGGGGGG